AACACTAACTGCTATTAATAAAAATAAATAGCTTATTTTTGAAATCTGTTTTCACCAATATTGATATTAACTTAATTTATGAATGTTTTTTATATATATTAACTTAATTTTTAAAACATATTTAAAAGTAGTATATTTGTAAGTATAATACATTATATAAAATTTATACTTTTACTAGCTGTTACCCACCCGCTTTGCTGCGTATTTCATGATGTTATATAAATATATACTGTTACATGTATATATATATATATATATATATATATATATATATATATATATATATATATATATATATAAATTATTGATATCTTAGCAATAAAAATTCAATTGTGTTGAAAAACATTGCATGATTCTTGATTTAAAAAGGACAGAACTTCCAAATAATAATTTCTAAAATTGAAGTAGAATAATGTTTTACTCTCTCGTAACTCCATCCTAAGCAAATTTCCACAAAACCCATTTTTAATGAATCTCTACTCAATAAAATAAACATGCTTGCCAAATTTCAAGTTTAAATCTAATAAATTAAAAACGGATTTTTTTATCAATAAACTTCAGTAACTACCTTTGAGAGTTGAGTTCTGAAAGATATGCTCAACAAATCTGTTTAATTCAACACCAGAGACATACATACCAAATTTCAATACTGTAGGTCTAGTAGTTCGAAAACTGGTATTGTGTTTTTTTTATCTATACTCTAAAATAAATCTTTCAAACTTTCAAAGAAACTTTCTCAATTTGTCCTCTTTTTGCACTAAAGTATAGCTAATTTCTTGAATCTTTTCATTCCTGTGTAGTAATTTTGAGAACAATGTTCTTAAATACATAAATATTCATCTATTTCTATTTAAGAGCTAATTTGCTCTTTTCTGTAAAAAAAAATATTTAAATAACTGTTATTTTTACTAGTTAAAATAAAAAACTGATATTCATACAATGTCAGCACAAATATGGAGAAGATTCTAGTTAATAAATTTAAGAAAGAAAACTTGTAAAATGTAAAATAAGAACTAATACATTTATTCTAATGTAAATAATAATTCTAATGAGTAAATTATTGAGATATTCACGTATATACTGAGGTATTACGCATTCTTCAAACTTAAGGACTACACCAATTCAAAAAATGCCACCAAATATTACCTTAGTTATTATTGTGTTCTTCTAGTTCATAGTTATTATTATTGTGTCCTGGAATCTATTTTTCATTATTAGCTGCACTTGTCTCAATTATCGACGGCATAATACGTAAGTGGTATTACAAATGTTATCCTTAAAGTAAAATAAAATTAATCTATGTTTATAATAATTATTACTAGCTGTTACCCGTTCGCTTTGCTGGCTATTTCATGATGTTATATAAACATGTATACTACATATATATAAGGGATGTTCAAATTAAAGTGATTCGAAGTATGTGTATCGCTGATATGCGTAGGGTCAGAAATGAGACATATACAAAGATAGAAATAACAATATTTAATGACTGAAATACACACATTAGTTTCTTAAGCTATCCGACTACGTTCGGAACAGTGATTTTGCGAAAGCGCATAAATGGATATTTTCATGATATTTAGTGTCACTTAGATTAGAATATATGCATAAAATTGTTTTAAGGACATTTTGACAAAAACGATTTATTTCAATACAATATTTTGGCAAAAAATTAACTTAATAATCTTTTTTCCAAATGTTCTCCTTTTGTGAAAAGGGCTTCTAGTATAATAATATTTTGCCTGTATATAGCTCAGACCTCTCTACCGAGGCTCAACTAGAATTTTTGAAATATATAACTTAGAAGTGGGTTTATTATATTTTACGACAACAGAGGGGAGCCATTTTAAGAAAAAAAACGCCAATAATTATTTCAATTGGTGGTAACTTTGAAATTAATGCGAATGTTTCAAAAATTCTAGTTGAGCCTCTGCAGAAAGCTCTGAGCAATATACAACCAAAATATTATTATAATAGAACCAATTTTCACAAAAGAAGAACATTTGGAAAAAAGTTTATTCGAAGTTAATTTTTTGCCAAAATATTATATTGAAATAATTTTTTTTTCTGTGTGAAAATGTTCTTATAACAATTTTATGCATGTATTCTAATCTGAGTGACACTAAATATGATGAAAATTATCCATTTATGTGCTTTTTTAAAATCATGTTTCCGAACGTAGTCGGATACCTTAAAAGAAATCACCCATGACGTTAAAGTAGGCGTCTCATTGCTTAGGAAGGTTACGAATTCCTACCGCGAAGAATGATGTCGGCTGATCATGGAATCAATTCAGAACTACAGCCTTTACGTCATCGTCGGAGTAATATCGTTGACCCATTAGGTTTTTTTTAGCGGTCCAAAGATATGATAGTCGCAAGGCGATAGATCTGGACAGTAAGCTGGATGTTTCAGGACTTCTCCTTTTTTATGGGCAAGTGCCTCGAAACACACCTTGGTTTCATACGGCCCTGCATTGCCATGCAGGATGATGACATCTGACGATAGCATACCTGAACGTTTGTTTTTGCAGCGTATCAAGTGTTTGGGTGTACCGTTAACCACTTATGGAGGTGTCCGGCTACTTAAACTCTAGTAATAGGGATCCTTGTATGTCGGAAAATGCCGTCAACATCCTCTTTCCGGTTGACTGCTGAGCTTTGAATTTTTAGGGCCTATGTGAGTCGGGATGTTTCCATTACATACTGAAGGACTTTCGGCTGGAATTGGTGATACCAGGTTTCATTCCCCGCCACTATGTGCAACACAAAATCGTCACCATTATTCCTGTAGTGCAACAAAAGTTGCAAACTCAGGTCCACTCCGGCTTACACTCTTCCTATATTAAAAACTTTATTATAGCTTGCTGATCCATTTTGGACGCAGTTGCATCCACAACAGCCATTTTTAAATAAATGCCACGTTCTTACGAAAGCAGTTATCACAAATCTGTTTGCGCACGCGTGTGCGTGGTACATACACCTTCACTATCGCGTTTGTTTCACGAAAATACATTAAAAATTGTTCGCATGCGACGCTTGTAGTGGCGCACACAAGGGGGGGGAGCCTAGGGGTCCGAACCCCCCTTCCCCCAAAGCCCTTGATTTTTTTTCCGATTGATTATAGTTCTAAGATTATAGTATGCACAATTTAATTAAGTATTTGTTACTAATGATTAATTTTATTAATTAATGCTAATTATTTATTCAATAATTAGTTTTTTACTGTGTTTTGTTCCCGAAAATCGACAAAATCAAAAGGAGCATGATACAAGAACGGTGAACTTTCGACCCCGGACCCCCATCCCCTTGAAAAATTCCTGTGTGCGGCTACTGGACGCTTGGAATCACTTTCATTCGAACACGACTCATATATGTAAATTATTTTTGTATAGGTCCCAGCGTAAAACGTTTGATTGCTTTGAAAATATTCCTTTTGCCTTTACCTCTTGATTTAAAAAAGACATGACTTGAATTTCTGAGACACTTTATTTTCGAGTCAATACTCACTGCTTATGCAAGCTCAGAATTAAAAGGTGCATCTTTTTCCTCGCTGATTGATTAGAAAGGATTTCAGTTATTTATTTGTATTTAGGCATTAGACTTAAAACACTAAAACCCGTTGTTGCTTCTGAATAATTAGTACGTTTTTATCTTTGAAACGACAGATATTCGTAGAAAAATAACTTCCTGCTCTTCTCACCCCCGCGTTTCTTAAAAAATGCCGATGTACCAATGGAAGCTAGCTACTGTGTGCCGGATATAGATGAGAAAATACTTTGCACTCGCTTACTGAACCGAGGAAATATTTCGAGGAAAAAACATTTAAAAATCCGAGTTTCAAGCTAAAATGCTTAATTTTTACTTACTTGTATATTTTTAGAATCTATATACAGTCGAACCTCTATATTGCGAATTTTTCAATATAACGAACTTCTTCCCGGAATCAAGAACATTTTACGATTTTTTCCGTAAAATAACCTCTCTATAGCGAAGTGAATTTCCTACATAACGAACTTTTTTTTCTATTGATTCAATTCTTTTTCTCCCTTTTTTTGAAATATTTTTGGACATTTCGAGTTGTTCTCTCTTTTAACACATTTTTGGTGGTCATAAATCTTGAACTGGTTTTATTAGGTGACTAACCCGCCGAGAGCAATAGAATATTCTCGGCATTTCATTCTACAAGTTCAACTTTTAATCCCCATTGTCCAGTTCACTGGAAACATCTTCGATATCCCCTTTCACCCTCAGTGAAGTCTCGTGTCCTTGAACTAGTGTCCATTCATTTGCAGTCTTCATCAGTCGTACTGGTAACTTTGTTTCTTGTAGCTCCAAAATGTCACAACGTAAGTGGTTGAGTTTCAAAGGGACAAAAATTAATTCTTCAGGAAGTGGATAAAGGCGTCAAGAAACTTTTCTTGCGGTCTTTTTTTCTTTCCTTTTTTTATAGGTAAGATATATAAAATAAATATATATTAGTTTACAAAAAGGTGTGAATAATTACTTTTTCTCATACATAGTGTTCATGAATTTAAAATTTGTTTTATGTAGTTTATAACGAAAATTGAAAGATGAACCTCTATATAACGAACTTTCCATATAACGAACTTTTTTCCGGGCTTTAGCGACTTCGTTATATATAAGTCCGTATGTATGTACACACACACACACACACACACATATATATATATATATATATATATATATATATATATATAAATTTATATATTCAATTCATACTATTAGTTCACTCTCTCCCTTTATATATATATATATATATATATATATATATATATATCTTGTTCAAATTTTCAATCGTTTATAAAATGCTTTCTATTCATCCATTGAAGAGTTCAAATACATTTTTTAAATTTGTAGTGGATGGCACTTGATATTAATACAGTTTTTTCAAATATTAACTCATTGATTAATGAATAAATAGTAACAAACAAAAATAATAGTCCAAAAGCATATATAGAAAGGAAAATCGTTCGTTGTGTCCCTGTAGCACAATGGAAAGTGCGTTGGACTTATAATCCAAAGGGGACGTGGCTTCGAATCCCACCAGGGATGACATAATTTCTGAGAATGAGATTTCTTTTTTTGCTATACTATTTTATTAGAATAATTAAATTTAATGAATGAATAAATAGTAACAAAAAATATTCTATATAGAAAGAAAGGAAAATGTAAAAAATTGCAAGGAAAATCGCTTTCAATTTTGTCACTTAATGTAATGTGATTCTACCATATTTATATTAATCGTAATTATTAAATGAAAAGTAACTCAGATAATTTTTTTTTGTTGACCTAAGTAGGATTGGCTCAATTTTTTTTATTATGACGCTTTCTCGTTTTTATAGGATTATTAAGTTTTTGAGTAAAATCATGTTAATTTTATTTATTATTTAGTTTTGTTACGTTATATAAGAATTAAAGCATAAGAAATTTTAAAAGTTTTGCGCAATTTGGCTAGAAACATAGCAATTCTTAAAATTTTAAGTGATTATTGTGTAATTTTATAGATCCTCGAATTTATTTAGCTAGAAGTAATGAACTCTCAAATCGATCGTACATTTTTCAGGTGATATAAAAATTTTATACGCGTTATTGGTAAACAATTTAAGTGAATTAAATGTACTTACGTTTATAAAAGGAAGTATCCGTAATTGTTGGTACCTTATACACCCCCGGTATTGTCGCTTGTCACGCCCCAACGACTTATCACTTCTACGAGTTTCCTCTTCCCGAGCGGACGTACTTTCCCAGTCGTCCCGTCGTAGAAAGTGTTTCTTTGCATTTAAGTGCCTCTTTTCTAATTTTGCTTTCTCTTAAGTTCATTGTTAATTTGTTATTGTTATTTACCTATCTTAATCATAATAAATATTTGTTTGTCGTGTGGATTAAGGTTTTATTTCCCTCTCTTGAGTATTATCGACGATAATTTTACTGTCGACTTCCCGCAGCATTTAGGCATACCACCCCCTATTTTCAGTAATAATTTACTGAGTTTGAATTTTTTCGATTTTTATGTGCGTAGTTGTCTTAATGAATTATAATTAAATTGAGCTTATAATACACACACAAAAAAAGTTAGCCTGCCTTTAACTTATTCGAAAACTTTCGAGTTGCCTGTTTCTCTATGTAGCCATTAACTCCCTTATTTGAAGGGAATTTCATGAATCTGAATCTATGCATTCTTTTTTAGTTATTGTTATCTAAATAAAAGCATTAAGCTTTCACATATAGTGAAAAATATTCTAATAACGCTTGCCTTTTGATTTAAAAAGGACAGAGCATGAATTTCTGACACAGAAAGATGTTTATCATTTACTTTGCTGCAGAGACTCCATCGATGTTCATTTCTTTAAACGCTTTTTTAAGCAAATCTTTACTCATTAAAAGAAACATGGTTGCCATATTTCTAGTCTGTATGTCTAATTGCTCAAAAACGGGATTTTTTAAAATCTATTATGCCACGTAATCTCCTTCATAACGATCTTGGTAATCTATTTCCGAAAACCCGATTTTTCCGGATCTCTACCCAAAAGAAGAAATATGTCTGCCAAATTTCAAATTTGTATATCTAATAGTTTAAAAGCAGGATTTTTTTTTGTCTATAACGCCCCTTCAATCCCCCTTGGGAATCAAATTTCAAAAAATCCACTCTAAGCGTATCTCTACTCATTAAAAGGAATATTTCTGCAAAATTTCAAGACTTAAGCTCAAATAGCTCAGGAGATCTCGTGATGAGTGAATCACTCTTCTCCTACATGGAGAGAGACGATTAATATTTAAAGGGGGAAGGTCCATCTATATAATATCTATTTTCTATATAATTTTCAACTATTCTGAAATGGAAATTTCAGAAACGAATTAATATCCCTCATTTGATTTGATTTGATTTTATGCTACAATCTGCATTATATCGAGGACAATTTCAAAATTAATCGGAAAAAAAGTAGCTTTTAAGGTATCCGACAACGTTCGGAAACGTGATTTTAAAAAAGCGCATAAATGGATAACTTTCATGATATTTAGTGTCACTTAGATTAGAATACATGTATAAAATTGTTTCAAGGACATTATGACAAAAAAAATTATTTAAATACAATATTTTGGCAAAAAATTAACTTAGAATAACCTTTTTCCAAAACGTTCTCCTTTTACGAAAATGCTTCTATAAAAATAATATTTTGCTTAGATAAAGTAAAGACTTCTCCAGAGAGACTTAAATAGGATTTTTGAAAAATTCACATTATTTTCATAGTTATTTCCCATTGAAATAATTATCGGCGTTTTTTTCTTAAAATTTTTCCCATCTGTTGTAGTAAAATACGGATAAATCCACTTCTAAGTTACATATTTCAAAAATTCTAGTTGAGCCTCTGTACAGAGGTCTGAGCTATATACAGGCAACATATTATTATAATAGAAACATTTTTCATAAAAGGAGAATGTTTTGAAAATTAGACATTCTATGTTAATTTTTTGTCAAAATATTTTACTTAAATAATTTTTTATTGTAATAATATTCTTAAAACAATTTTATATACGTTTTCTAAGCTGTGACACTAAAAATCATAAATATTATCCATTTATACGCTTTTGCAAAATCACGTTTCCGAACGTAGTTGGATACCTTAATAAACTATTTTTAACAAACGATTAATGATTAATTTATAGAATTGGTATATTGAACAATGATGTGAAGGAGAAAAGAAATAAAATACTCAATCTCTCAAAAATACACAGATAGTATACTTTTTTTTTGTGTACCGAGAACTATAAAAAACAACACTGTTTCTATAAAAATGTTAACTACAGTTTTTACAGATAGAATTAATATTTGCCAAAATGTTTTTAACTTATATCGTGAGCATAACTCAAACAGAAGTAGGCATTGCTGAAAAAAAACTTTCATTGAAAATCGTGAACATATCTTTTCCTACATTTACTCCTGTCTTCCAGTTCATTTTTGTCCCTTTCATTTTCACTTAGTTATCGAAGCGATTATCCTCAATTCAAATTTCGTGCCCAGAAAGTTCATCTTTTTAATAGCAAAATCGTGGTTAGCAAGTAATAGCTGTAATATTTCAATAAAAAAGCGTTTATTATTATTTATTTTAACTAATAATGGTTTATTTTTCTGTGAGTCTATACTATTTCAAGGATTTTTTTGGAGATTTATTCGAAAATAACTCGGACAACATAAATTATTTAGAAAGACTTGAACGACTAGTTGTTCAATCTTTCTGAGTACATTAATAAATCAATGTCCCTATTCTTTAATTTTTATTTCAATCACTGTCAATTCTCACTTCGTTAAATGAGAAACTAGAAATTCCAATCAAAACATATTTTTAATAAATTGCTTGATATATGTTCGCATACAGTGATTGATATAGCAATAATTTTTTGACATATAAAATGTCCTTTGCATTTGTTATTAAGTTTTTTTGAAATTTTGATTTTTATTCTCGATTTTTTTTTAAAAGAGATTAATTTGCTTATAGAATTACTCTAAAATATAAACATCATATATCATCTTTTCAGATTTGTACTTTTTAATTGCATTGATTTTATAAAAGAAATCTATTTTAAGTAGAAAGAAATGTAAATACTTTTTTTAAAAAAACATGAAATAAGAAAAACGAATTAGATAGATTTGATCGCCTTAAGTAAATGTCAAAGCGTTCAAGGATCCGAACACGTTCGGAGTACTTTTTCACAAAATAACATATTTAAACATTTTAAATGCTCTATTAGGACTCATTACCAATTACTACTACTATTTTTAACTAACACAATATTTAAAATAAATTACTTGAATTTTACATAAAATACAATTATAAGTGAAATTTCAGCAATATTTTTGAAAAACTTCAAAGCAATTAGAGAAAAAAGTAATAAACATATATTAGTAAAAGTATTACTAAAACAAATTGGATGCGTTTATCTAGAAAATTTACTAAAATGTAATGTTTTATTACAGTTTGAAAAGTTTAGAGCTCATTGAGTAAACATTATAAGAAATGTTACATTATTTATTGTACCATTATTTAAATAACAAGCTATCACTCCAAAATTATTCACACAGTAAGAAATATTTTAGTACATTCTCTATAACATAACATAAATATTAGGTTCAAAAAGTTTTATAGAAATACATTTGTAATATTGTGAATTATCAGACTCGCCATGATAGATTTTGAGCAATTTAAATTCCCACTTCTGGTAGATCAAAGACCCACTTCCGGTTTTTCCAACTTTATAAAATTGATTGTAACTTGGCCTCTAGGTAGCTTAGAAACAAAACAAAGTATGTTTCGTAAAGCCAAAAGATAGTTCTTTTCAATAAAATTTAAAAAAAAAACATCTGTCTTGAGCGAATTTGGTCATTTTGAACGTGTTCGGATACCGTTTAGTAAAATATCTTTTCAAAATATATCGAAAGTAACTTGATTTTTTCTATGAATATACTATCAAACCTCCATATAACGAACATTCCATTTTGAGAATTTCTTTATTTTGTGAAATTTTTCCAGGAACGTAGAACATTTTACTATTTTCTTTGTAAAATAACCTTAAAATTAGAAAATATCGTTAAAATTCATTAATTTTAATATATAATTATTTTTTAAAGTTTAAAATATGTATAAAAAGTATATTCTTTTTTCTCCTTATTCTCCTTGCAGATTTCTTTTTTTTTATGGGTCAGAAATATAAAATGACTAGATATTAATTTTCAAAAAGAATGTGAATAATTACTTTTTTTTAAAAAATAATATGTAGTGTTTATGAATTTAAAATTTCTTTTATTTGGTTTATAAAGTATATTAAAAATTAAATCCCTATTTTTATGAATTTTCCATGTAATGAACTTTTTTTCGGTCTTTAGCGACTTCGTTAAATAGAGGACCTACTGTACATATTTTTTGTTCAAAAAATGTACTTTGATTTTTTTTTATTCTTTGGTATTTTGATCAATTTCATACCCTTATACCAGTGGTCTTCAAACTGTGTTCCACTGAACCCTGGGGTTCCCCAAGGCATACCCAGGGGTTCCACGA